GAAAAACTCAGTTTTAACAGGAACAAACTTCCAGCAGAACTATTCTAAAGGCTGATTTATACTCAGAAAGCAGGTCCTCTGTGTGTGTGTCACAGTGAAAGCAAATGTGCCCCCGTCCCTTCGGCAGACACCTCTCAAAAATTGTAGTTGACCGGAGACAGTGCCGCAGACAGAAGGCATCTGCTTGGTCAAATCTACATCTGCTCTACGCTATGCGTATTTCCTGTTTGGTACCTTACCAGCTTGATTTGTTTGTATGACCGCCATTATAGAAAACGACTTGTGCAAATGGACCAGCTAGAAGAATAAGGTGCACAAGAATGCTGGTACCCTTTTTCCATCTTTTTTGCTGTCTTGTCCCTGCGTTGTTGCACAAACTTGCCCCCACCTGCTCACCGCCTTGGCCGTATCTAGACCCACAGCTAGTTCATGATTGTCCCTCTTGCGTTGTGACATGAAATAGCATAGCACAGACCATGCTTCAATATTGGGCATCAATTAAAAAATATCTATGACAAGCTCACTGCTACACACTGCTGAGGGAGTTTAACCAGCCCTTTAGTGTGAATGGCCATCTGAAAAGGTCGACTGGGGTTCAAGGAGACAGAAGCAGATAAAGAAATTAATATAAGTTCTTTGTCGCTCAGGTCCTGGCAGAAGACGTTGATGCTGGGAATTAATGTACACTTGGATGAGTAACCTAGAAAAGGACAAGAGTAGTCTTCCCAGGGCCCGGATAGTGGTTGTGGTATAAGCCAGAGGGTGAGTGAGGAGATGGGGTGTAGGTGGATGAAATTGCATGTGGTCCTGGAGAGGGAAGCTGAGACAGGAGCTAAATGAAAGGGATCTTAAGAGATAATTGGCTTCGGAGAAGGTGTGGCCCCCGAGTTGATTGGCTGGAGCTGAAGGAGGGACATTTCAGGTGGTTCAGGTGAAGCTGATAAGAGTCTTTCATATTGAATTCATGCTTAAGCTTCATATCTCAACAAAGTTCTACTCCTTTTTAAAATAAAATCCGGTCTTTAGTTTTCTCTGGTACATCAGCAGACAGCAAACTAACCAAAAAACAGACAATCATCATTTGACCTTGTTTGCCTATGATTACATTTGTTGAAAATGACACATGCTATCCTTTTTAAGGATGCATTGTCTATAACATTTAAAAAAAAAAGCTCCTGCAGACTGCAGCTGTTCTTCTAAGCACCTTGTTTTCCTCCTCCCTATCTCTCTTTCTCTCAGTGAGCTAATGAAGGCCTCGTAGCCCACTGTTATTAAAATTACGCCCTTGCCTCTGATATTAATTGGGTCCGTAATAAGGAATGCGCCAGATTCATTATTTAATTGCAAGGGCACACTTAGAATACAGTTTCTGAAATGTATTTTTAATGAAAAACACTACATCCTGACCTAATCATATCAACCTTATTCTATCTAATTAAGGATGCAAAAAATCATTAGAGTTGCAAAATATTAGTTTCGGCTCTGTCGGGCTTCTCCTTTCCTTTCCTTCATGAATATTTTTTTCCCCTGTCTATGATAAATAGTTAATGAGGGAAAAATGACAGAAATTTGCATGTAGGGAAATTAGTTTAATAGGGATATGTCTTTGCTGAGTTAGGAAAGTGACCCTTTTGCACAGAAGAAATAGTGACAATAATTATAAGATAATGCTAAGGCCTATCTTACTTTGATGAAATATTGTCTGGTTGTATAATGTGAAAATGTTAAACTGTAATAAACCCCAATTTTCATCACAGAATGTTTTAGCATTTTATCACAGTGATAACACCAAATTAGGAGCAATATGACAGAAGCGAGAATTGTTGCTTTGGAAGGAAGAATCCAGTAATGGAAGGATAATAAGGAAGTGCACCACAGTGAGAGTTTTCCTGATGTTTAATAGGGTATTTGCTTAGTGGGAAATAAAATCAGGTCTATAAGATGACATGAAATAATATAAGTTAATTTGTTCACAAGAAACATACTGTACCTGTTCCATTTTCAACACAGATATTTCAATACAATTGTAGCATATAAAGAGTTAAATAGAAAAATCTTTTAAGTTCAGTATTCAACGTATTTTATTCAAATCACCTATATATATAAAATCATAATAACTCCCCTCCCCCTGCTATCTGACTCACCTTTACTCACCCTTTGTACTCTTACGTAGGCTGGGTGGGTGGCAATTAATCTCATGCTCGGGTCCTCTATCACATGCCTTCACAATGTCATAGGTTTTTCTAGAACTGGACTCTGATCTCTCTTCTTGACTGAGATCTCTGGTGTTTCTCCAGGTATCTGTTGGAGTCATTTCTCCAGTGTGGGGGTTACTATCCTGAGCTCTCTGATGACCACAAGCAATAAAGTTGCGTTCCTCGAGCCCTTGGTATTTTTCCAATTTCTCATGTTCTTTTTTCATTCAGGATGGCCACATCGATCACTATGGCTGTCCTCTGCTACTTATCATTGATCACAATATCCGTTTGGTTGGCAAAACCATTTAGTTTTTATCCGGGAATCCAAAGGATCTTAGCTCTGTCATTCTCCACCCCTTTTGGAGGTGGCTTACATTTTGACCTGGGAGTTTCCAGTTTGTATTTTGCACAGATGTTAATGTACACTACACTGCTCCCTAAGGGATGGGTAAAATGCAGAGGTGAATTTCTCCAGTGTGAAATAAATAAAGTTTGAACATTATAGTTATTATTATTATTAGCCACTTGGTTATGGTGTTCCATGTATTCCTTGGAAATTTCATCTTCTATGGTTGCTCTGTGGGCTGCGCGTTGATGCAGTGAGTAGCATACCTTGCACCAAGAAATTTAGATTCCCAACCCGGGGTCTTTCTGCATGGAGTTTGCATATTCTCCCCCTACATGCATGGGTTCTCTCTGGGTAGTTCGGCTTCCTCCCACAGTCCAAAAACATGACTGTTATGTTAATTAGCTTCTCTAAATTGTCCTCAGGTGTTAGTGTGTGTGTGCATGGTTGTATGTCTTTGTGTGTCTCTTTTTTGCCCTGCTACAGATTAGCGACCTGTCCAGGGTGTACCCCTCCTATCATTTACTGCAGGAGATAGGCACCGGCCCCATTGCGACCCCAAAGGCATACTGTAAGCAGGAAAAGATGGATGGATGGATGGATGGATGGATGGATGGATGGATGGATGGATGGATGGATGAATGGATGGATGGATGGATGGATGGATGGATGGATGGATGGATGGATGGATGGATGGATGGATGGATGGATGGATGGATGGATGGATGGATGGATGGTTAATAGTTTGTTTACAGGTGATATCTGCAATAATACTAGGGTTGAAAAAAAGGCTACCACTTGGAACCAATATCGGTCACACTGCCTAAATAATCACCTAAAAAGTTTACAGTTTACGTGATGTTTTTTTTTTTATAATAATAATACCCTGGCTCTCGCCCACAGTCTACCACAGATAGGAACCGGCCTACCCGAACCATGACAGTATATATATATATATATATATATATATATATATATATATATATATATATATATATATATATATATATATATATATATATATATATATATATATATATATATATATATATATATATATATATAGGCCTATATATATATATATATATATATATATATATATATATATATATATTCCTATATTATGTACATGTTAGTAACTCCATGTGGAATAACACTAGACTATGCCGGAAGCTCGTCTCATGAAATGCATGCAACTTGCAGGCTGTATACCTTATGGTAATGTTTAAAGTTTGAAGAAGGGAATACATTAAGAATCATTTCAAAAATAGTTGCTCTGACATTACCTTCAAATATTAAGACTTTGCACAAAAAGTTTCAAGAGCATATATGTTTGCTCCCAGGTTGTTTATTATATAATGTCTAAGAGATTCTCTAATAGTTCTTCAACATCAAACTATGGCAGATTCTGTGAACAAAAACACACATATTTTATTTTATGGATTTTTATGGAGCTTGAACCACCTATCAGTGGAAAACATATCTGTAAATTTTAGTGATTATCTTGCTACCAGCTTGCACATTTGTCAGGACACCCAAGCACTGTCAGTCCAGATAGAGATCATCTCTGAATGTTTCAAGTATTTTAAACTAGAGATTTTCAATTAGTAAATATGATTTGTTGTCACACAAATTGACAATTCTCAAAATGGCCAGCCAAAATAAAAAAAATAAGTAAAAGTGTAAGTGTATTTTATGACCAGAGAGATCAAACAACAGTCTAAAAGCACACAAACCTAAATGTGCAAAGCGCTGATGAAATGAGCTTTAGCCTGTGAAGTGCAACGTAAAAGCCATAGATTATATCAAAAATTCCTCAAGTTTGATCCTTGCAATCCATTTCCCTTATCTTTGTAAGTCACATTTTATGCGAAGAGCGTACCTCATCTATAGGCACGACACAACCAATACTTTAACATTATAGCTGACCCCTACTTTGTTGTCACATAAATGAGGGCGTCAATCCAAGCAAATAAACATTCAGTATCTGACATGAAGATGTTCACCTGAAGATTACCGGTATGCCCAGTATGACACATTCAAATTTCATGTTTACTGATGATTAAGCGGTCTCTCTATAATGGAATTTCTTCAGCAAACTTGGTAATTATATTGCACTAATTAGCATGAAGCAAAATACCTCTCAGATCTAACTAAAGGAATAAAATAAAATCAGTCCATGCTATATATTGTGGTAGATGGATTTTGTCCTTTTGAACTACAGTAACTGCTGCTGCCAGCCTTCTTCATGACAAGCACTAAACATGATATTTAGGAAAAACTCCTTGATCACAGATCGTCTACCACCGCTGCGTATAAAATGGCTTTTTTTTCCATAAATGCTCTAATGATTTAATAGATGATTATGTCCATAGGAAAACACTGTTAAGCACAATTTATCAACAAGTTATCAAAAATAAGACAAAAAGAGAAAGGACATTATGGTGATGAGTTACCTTACGTCTCTCTCCATTGAAGCCTCTCCACTGCTCGGCCTTTTTGACAATGTAGCTGAGTTCCTGATTTGACAGCTCCAGGTCTTCAGGCACAAAATATGCACCCTCTTTGGCAGTGAGTCGCTGGTAGATATCCAACATGCGACCATCATTGTGGAATCTGAAAGGTGTGTATAGAAATTAGAGTGAAGCAACAGGAGAAACATACTGTAGAAATAATGGCCAAAGAGAAAACAAACAAACAAACAAAAAATACAGTAGCTGTGGCCTTCACTTCACTAAACAGACTAACTGACCAGGATTCTTGCTGAAAAAAAAAAAACTAAAAAAACAGGCACATGAAACCTTTATTGATTGCGGAGCAGATACGGGTGATGCTCTTTAAAGTCTAATACATCAAGTGAAGCAGCAAAAGGAATCAAACAAATTGGCCTCTGAGTGGGAAGTGCTTTGTTAACACAAGCCGACTGTAGCTGTGTCCAGGTTTGACTGGGTGTCTGCGTGGTTTTACATCTTTTAATGTGTGGGAGTCAGATCCTGGGATGTTCTTCAGTGTTAATGCCGAGCTTTAAAGATTCCAGTTTCAACGATTGTACATGCGTCTGGAGAGGCTGGCTTGAGTCACAAGAAAATGTTCTACAGAGCAGAAGGCATATTGATTGATACCTCCAGATGAATGCACTCAGCCGAAGTATTATTTTTGTTTCGCCACACACATGGGTTGCATGCAGCCAACCCCTAAAAAGAAACACCATGTCTGTAAACAAATGCTTTGGCCGACCATCAAAACTGGAAGACCTTCTGCCCTTCCACAGAGATTCTAGTCTGTCAAAGGGTAATCAGCTCTCAAATAAAAACAACATCAAGGAGACAAGGCTTTACACAAGGAGCTGCTATGGAGCTTTGAACTCAGCATTATTCCCCATCGCTCTTGGGAGAGGAATGTTTGTAGAAGCTTGACCTCAGACACAGGAATAGCATACAATCATTTTTATCCTACACTTGATTTTTGCTTCTCATTCATTTATGCGGTCGCTTTCTTCAAGGAATTCACAGTCTTCTCATCTGTGCTCCTCAAAACAGGCTAATTTTACTGTGGTCCAGAAGCCCTGAACTTTCCTGTATCCTTCTCAAATGAAGGGTTGTGACCGAGGGGATGAGGTTTAAGTGTAAAAGTCAGTATTCAACATATATATCTTATATTATATTATGGGTTCAAATTGTTATTTTAATTATTGAAGCATTTTATAAAAGCTACTTCAACTAGTATTTAAGTATTAAAATTCCTATCAGTCTCTTCAGTATTATCTTAGGTGGGAAACCATTTTAATGCAAACGTTAGAAATAATGATAAATTATTTGTGAAGATATATATTTGTTATAAATGTATTATATTTAATCTTTTCTATGATTAGAATATAAATGAACCTATTGTTAATGTAATTTATAATAAATAGGTTTAAGAAACATGACAAAGCATAAACAAATAATGAAACTAGAAACTACCTAAAGGGGGAATCTAAAGGAAACACACTTTTAATTAAAAGCTTTGATTTTTATCAAAAGGTTTATCAGTGCTGAAATGCAATATTCCATGCATGATTTAGAGTTGTTAACAACTGACCTATCTTTAAGGGAGGAATTAGGTGGAATGAACTGACTGAGCCACCTTTGAACCATCAGTTTCCTGCACAGAATTGCTAGGAGATCAAACTGATAATAAGGATCTTAAAGGGCCAGTGTGCTTCTGCTCAACAAAAGTACCATCTGCTATGAAAGATTTCTATAAAAAATAAGTAGAAATTCTGTAAAATATATTGCATGCCTGAAATTTGCCTCTCTCTGGTTTCTAAACCAAATTGGTAACAATACATAACATAAATATGTTGAATATTTTGCATTCATTTATCACTGTTTAATTAAAAAAAGGAGAACATTCTGTAACTTTATATGAAAGATGGACCAAAAAACACATTGTAATAGATCCAGGATTGGGATAGAACAAATTTAACACATTACATCATTCACATTAGTTAAAAATAATAAAATTACTACAACTATGGTCTTAAAGGGGACCTGTTGTACTTTATTCTAAACATTAAAGATGAATAGGCTCTTTTAGAGTTAACACAACTCCAAATTAATGATTAGACTCAGACTTTATACATGTGAATTGGCTGCATATATAAGCAAATTCGTAAAGCCATATATCTTTAAACCTAAGTCTGACCTTGAAGCTAAAGAAGTGGAGCCTAATGCACAACCAGCAAGGAAGCAGCAAGCAGTTCGTGAATGGTAAGTAACTCCTAAAGTTTGTCCACAATCTGTTGATAGTGGTGGTATTTATAAGCTAAATCCTAGTAAGTCCTATGCCTGCAGGGCTACCTTAGACATTTCCAGAGTCTCCTTGAAAGCCACATTTCCACAGTGGTAAAATATCCTGTTATAGCCTCTTCACTACCTGGAAACATCTGTCTGTTAGTTTTATATTCTTATAAAAACATATTGGTTTGTGTAAGTTACCTCTAGAGGTATTTTGGTTGCTTGATGTCAGAAGATTCTAAGAACAAAAAAGGATGGTAACTGCACTAGCAACACTATCTGATTTTCAATGCAAATTAACATGCTAACCACTAGTATATGTTTTTCAGCTGTTCAGTGTAAGTGAATTGTACACACATTTATCAACATGTATTAATGCCAGCGCTTAGTTATGTGATTTATTCTTTCAAAAAAATAAAAAAAACAATCCAACAATTTCGAAGTTTGAGGGCATTTCGCTTCGTTTGGTTGTTTGGTTTCTTTGTTAGCCTGTAGTACCCTAAACCTGTCTATGTCTCTAAAGGGGGGGTCGTTACAAGGAATTGTTGGCTTGGCTGAAGAGGAGAGGTGCTCTGTTCCCTCAAAAAACTCAATCGCTGAATTGTAGGATTTTGAAAGCTGAAACCTGAGTCCGACACCTTTGTTTAAGGTTGGTTTTTCTTTCTTCCATAAGTTGGCTTCCTTCAAGTCCCTATCAATCGTCCAAAATGTGAACATTTTGGTCCTCAAAGGAATGTCCTTTGTCCATACGATGTAGATGTACCGCAGAGTCTTGTCCCAAGGAGGTTGTGCTTCTGTGTTGGGCCATGCGTCTGTGGAGAGGTTGTATGGTTTCTCCAATACAAAGATCAGAGCACTCCTCACTGCATTGAAATGCACACACCACTCCACTCATATTTGGTCAGAGGGTTTTGTCTTTAGGATGCACTGGTCTCTGTTTAAGGGTATTTTTAAAGGTCAATACTCTTAAACAGAGAATGCTGCTAATTAATTGTCACTCCATACAAATTTTTCCTTTGTTTTCCTTCTTCTCCATTCATTGAATCATTTGAAATACCTGAAATTGTAGCTTCTACTTTAAGTTCATAGCTCCTTTGTAGCTTGTTGTGTTAACAGTAAGCCCACAGAGCAATAATTGATTGAAAAGACGCTGAAAGGACGACATGTCCTTCCAAAGTCCAAACAATGTCTACACGTGGTTAAAAAATGAAAGGTGAAAAGCTGTAATTTTCAGATAGTTGCAAAGATAATGAAAACCTTGTTTGCAACGTCTTTTTAACTACTATTGCCCCACTTACTGTACTCTACCCTCTCTGAAACAGAGCTTGGATCAGTTAACCGTGCCAAGCTTGGTTCCTTAAGACCATTTACACATCACACTAGCATGGTTCCTCACCTCCTAGTAATGACCTATGGTTCTATTGCTTGGATTAAAAGAGGGAATAAAGCAAATCAAAATGGCAGCGGCTGTAACATTCAGGAAGTCCTGTTTGGTATAATTTGATATTTCGTTGTTTGGGGAGAGTCAGGCGAAGAAGACAGCCTTTGGTCACACCATGCTCTTTTGAAGCCATTTTATAAAATGTAGTGTTGAGAAGGTTTCGACTGTTTTTTACAGTTCTTCTTCCTCTGTTTTATGGTGGTTGGCAAGCAACTTTATGGTAGGGATGGGAATCGAAAACCAGTTCCTGTTCAGAACCGTTTCTGTGTATTCCAATTCCATGGCACCATTTGGCAGCTCGCTTAATGGTTCTCTTAACAGTTCCAGGCAGCACTGGAGCCTAGCACTGTTATGCATACTGCATTTAGTAAGCAAGTACGATGTGACCAGGCCTAAGTCTAGAAAATCAAAACCAAAAAAATGGCGTCTCATCAGGTAAAGTGATCGAAAGTTTGGCTTCATTTAAAGGAAGAGAAAGATGGCAACAAGGCTCCTTGCAATCATTGCAAAGTAGCAATTGCATCCACGGGAGGAGTTATATCCAACATGCAGAAACACCTGCACACACAACAGGGCATACATTTTAACGAATGCTGTGTTTTTGATGCTTCCGGACAGAAGGTAAAGTTATGTATGACCAGCATGGAAGGCAACTCTGGTGGTAAGTGCTAGTTTTATATCACTGGCTTTGCTTAATGTGGTTCCTAATAAATCATATGCCATCTCTGGAAATAAACCTATTTCATACCTCTCTTTGGGGTTATTAAACATGCTACGAAGTTGCTACAAAGGGAGCGAGAGAAAAGTGACGCTCGTTTATTAAAATCAGGGGGAGATGAGTTATTTCCCGAAATTGTACAGTAATGTTTTAACATTAAACTGATGCCTTCTCCATTAGATCTAGATGACTTTGACCAGACGGGTAGCCTAGCTGGCTCAGAGGCTGGCAGCTTCCGTTCACTGCCTTCTGTTTTCGCAGAGGCAAGCAGAAATAGAATGTCTCAGGTGAAGGTAGACGAATGTTACCGTGCACTTACCAAGTTCATTAATTTCACAGAATCGATAAGGAATCGACTTGTTTCACAGAATTGGTAAGGGAATCATGAAACTTATCAATTCCCAACCCTACTTACTGATGTGCATTATCGCTAACTACTGGAAGCTGACTGCAAAGAGATGACGCAGTCTACTCATGTGCTCTTAGTTAACAGAGAACCGAGCCACAACTGAACTGTGGAGCCCTACTACTGAACTAGTACTAGTTTGACGCAGTTCGATTGTGTCTGTCACAGTCCAGTTCAGTTTACGTGACATTTGCACTCAACAGTTTTCTCGGTTACCTTGCTCTGACTGTTTTAGGCAAAGTTTCAAAAGGGTAGTGTAAGTGGGGTGTGTTATTGGACTAAAGTGGGACAAAGTCACACTCACCAAGCACAGCCCAATTTTAAACAATGATTTTTGGACTAAATCAAGCCTATGATGGACCAACCACATTTAGCTTAAAACACATTAACCTCTATACCCTCTATAGTGTTATACACTATACATCCTTCAACCTTACAGACCTTATTACGCAACAGACACCCACATGAAAGGAGCTGGAAACTTTTGGAAAAGAGCTACAACAAAAACAAAGTTACACAAATGCAGCAAATGGCCGAATATTCCCTAGCAATGACTAGGAAAGTCAGAAGTTCCCTATGCTAAATGAATAGGAGCTAAGAAGCATCTATATTTCTCTTCCTAGCTCTTTCCTTGATATGAACACTATTTGGATAATATTTATTATGACAACCACTCAATGTGGTTTCATCTTTGCACTTAACTTTTTCCTGTATGGCTACCTGACTCGATTTTGAGTAGATGTAGCCACAGTTTTTCTTTGCAGACGTTGCCATGTGAAAAGCTGAGCTCCTGTTGTTGTGGTTGCTAGGTATAGAGGAAGTGTCAGCTTTATCAGAATGGGAAGGTTTTTATAATGACTCATTTTACAGACACCAACAAAATATTTGTTGCTGGGTTTTTTTCTTTTCTTTTTTTTTTGTGTGGAGACCAAAACGTAAATATAAATAAATAAATAAAAAGTTATTTATGCATATCAGTTATTCTGACACACTTAATACTAATACCCTATTGGCTGGGTGGCTTCATCACCTACATCACACACTGCAATATGCTGTACAAAGCAAGAATACTCTCAAAGAAAATTACACCTTTAAATAGTAAGTAGTATTGATGTATTGATTGCGGTTCAAATTAAATTTCTGAGTTCTCGAGCAGTAAAATGAGTTAATTCTAAGAAAGAGGGACTTTGAGATGTATCCACATGAATCTTTGTGAACATTTCTGATTATAAGCAATACCGGTTTTGATCGTCTAAAAGATTGTATACAGCATAGAAAAAGATTGTTTAGCCCCATCTAATGCAAAAGCTTAAATGATGTTCAACAGTGTTGGTCGGAGTAGTGAAATGCGTGCAAGTGTTAACAAAATCTCAGAGAATTGTCTAATACTGACAGACTTTATCACTTAAAGACTTGGAGATTGATATCCTTTTTTCTTATCAGTGTTTACATATTGTTTAATTTAAAACATAGGTAGTAGATTCATTTTTGCAAAAAGTGACTAAGTCAACCTAAAATGTAATTAATAGAGGATAACAATCCACTCCATCTATACATACAGCCTGAGGGTTTTCTTTAGAAATAGGTCACAGTCTGTGTCAGAGCCCCTTCATTACGGCCAACAGAAAAACTATATCCCATAAAATTATCAGGCTTGCTTCAACCTCATGGCCTAAATTCAAAGCAAAAGCAGTTGAGTGGTAGAGATCTTTATTCTCAGCTCCTTTTTTAATGTTGTCCATTTAGTGGAATCCCTGATAAGCCTCCTGCCTACTGAAATAGATGGCACCCCAGCCACTGAGCTCAGGCTGACTTACTCGGAAAATGATTCTCTCACATTTTTAGGTCTTAGCGTTCTTATATGAGTGGAAAGAAAGGTGAATACAAAGACATGTTACGAAGAATTGTTTTAGCTGCATTTGATGCATTTTTTAAAACCAATAAGATGGGTTTCATTGATTATATAAGAGGACAAACATTCAACCACGAACCAGTTAATGATAACTAGATATGAAAGTGTTGTTTCAGCACCTCTGTATACAGGAAATCAAATAATATATATATTGCAACAGGAAAGTGTAGTACATGATTTTTCTTATTTATTTACTGTGGCTCTGAGGTGTAAAATCTACTCAAAGAAAGTCTCTACTCTTATTCCAAGGCTTAACATGAATAAAACAGACAATATCTGTTTGTTTTGGTTCTAAGGTCACCTTCACACTGCTGGTCTCATCCAAGGATCGGTCCAGAGGAGGGTCAAAGTGAAAACACTCAAACCTTCAGTTGGAGCTATTTGATTTTACATACATATCCAAAACTGGAAAATAATTGCACTGACATAGAGGAAAAAAAGGTGCGAGGAAGAAGTTGCTTCTTCCATGTTCATATGTAGCTGTGCACCTGTAACTTTTCATTACTAAAGTTTACTGCACAAAAATGTGTTAAACATTTTCTTCTCCACATCTTTTTTTCAATGCCATGAGTGACCCAATTAAAAATCAATAGCAACACAAATCCTTTATGATTTTAATCCATTGGGTAGGTTGAAAAGCACTATGCTGGGTCTAATCCAAAGTGCAACCATGTTTTGTTAAAGCAAATTGACTTGGGTGGGTTGGTTCATATTTGAGCAAATTTGTGTTTTTTGAATTCAAACATTTTTTTTTTTTTTTTTTGTGAAGTTGTTGCTGCCATTGGTCAGTATCTATATTCAACTGGTGCTTGTACCCATCTTTTTTCCCTTTATCCAGAATCAGGTCATATTTGGCAGCAGTTTCAGCCTTCCCCAAAAACTGGGGTAATCAGAATTATGTTGTGTTTTGATTTATCGAATTAAATGCACCCTGTCACCACTTGCATTAGCTTATGTTGCTTTCCTATTGCACATTTGTTCAGTCAAACAAAAATGAGGATAAGTAAGCTTTTAATAAACCTAGAAAATTACTTTTGGATAAAGGGTTACATATAGTTTGGTACCACTTCTCCTGTTAAGAGCAGAGTAAGGTTAAAATGTGTTAAATTCAAGTCCTCACCGGCCTGCGACATACAACTTTTACATTTGTCTCCACCTCAAAACTTCTGAATTAAACGATAAAGAGGTTAGAATGACTCTGTTGAACTTTGCTATATGCTGCAGAGATTAACCATTGAACTGACACCTCTAATAGTTGCAGGACCCTGGCACTCAGGGAATTTGGTTTGATACCTCCAATTTAAAGTATTTTAAACAGATTTTGCTTCTTAGCCTATAGCCAGAGATAAATTACTTCCCACCTAACCAAAATGAACACTCTTATCTTTTATAAACTTTGGCTGTGGTGATTTCTTTAGAAAGGTACTGAACAAAGCCAGCATTTAGGAAATAAGCATATTTTTTTGTTTGCATTTAACCAAAATGAAAAAGTTATGTCTTTTTTTAAATTATGTGGATGGAAAGAGGGTACTAAACATATCAGTCCTATTGAGAATTGCACAAGGTTCGGTGGAAGGCTTTATTTTTTCTAGTGTCTTACCTGAGCAGGTAAATAGTGAGAATAGTAATGGAGAGAAGGAAGTGGACTGCATAGAGGAAGAGTGTGATGACCACTCCTGCTGCACCTGATCCATCAGCTCGATAGAAGTGCCAGTAAAGCTTGGCTGCATCCCCCACTGGTGTGTCAGGGCTGTAGGCCAGGTGCTAGGGAAACAACATAAAAAAAAAAGCAGCAAAATGAAGGATTTAGGATAATCAGATTGATCCTGTTCGGATTAATGAGCTTTTGTTCAGAATGCTTTTGGATTTTAAAGACGATAAACTTTAAAATGAAATGCATTTTGGATTTGTTCATTGGCACAATATTATATAAAAACTATTTTCTTATGTAGGATGTGATTTAAATACTACATATAGTCAAATAACAAATTATATTAACAGGCATTTTAGAATTTTATACTGTAAACCTCAAACGACTTCCAAAAAAGACATTCATCTAACCTTGCACAGTTTTATTCCTCCACACATTTTTTTTTATCATTTAAAGTCACTTTGCCAGGATAAAGTGAACTCCTATTTAAAGTGCACAAGTGTCTAAGTTATTTTTAAGTGACTTACCCCGAGGAGGGCATCCACAGCAAAGACTGCCAGGGGGTCGAGGACTGTCCACACTCCCTGAGCCATGATAAAATTTGACGTGAAGGAAGGGAGTGAGCCAAATATCAGCTGACAGCCCCATCTGATCAGAACCAGCAGGAACGTTATAGCGTTCAAGGTCAGGGGACCCACCACCACCATCGCCAGCTCCTCTCGGGTGTGGAGCAAAGAACTCTGGTAGATGAGCTCCACTGTGTGTGCATAGAAGTGAAATCTGATGAGAGAGAAAAGTGTCAATATGCATACACCATAATTGTTTTTGTGAGGCTTTGCAGCCGAAGGGCAGCTGGTTCTTGCAAGTCACACACCATGTTATAATGTTTATGGTTGATTCAATCATTCTTAATTAGTCTTATGACAATAACAATTATTATTAGCCATTACTCTTTCTGGTTACTGAGTGTATCAGACATTTATCAATGTTTTTCCTATACAGTTATATCTACATTTCTCAAATATATTTCAAAGTAAGACAATATATTTATAACACTGATAAAAGACAGAGCTTTCAAAAGTTCCCTTTCATAAGTTGGACTCCACATTTACAGCAAGCCTCATGAGCTTCTTAATCATCCCCTCAGTCAGGAGGAGGTAAAGCAGTGGTGGCCGAGGACAGGTCCAGTTTTCCTCATTAATTTTCACCCGATTTGCTCCAAGAGTCAAGTATCTCTCAGATTCCGTCCATTAATCTGACTGAGGAGCTCCATTGATTTTTTTGAAAGAAATCCTTTTAGAGTCTAATCTCAAAATTTAATAGGAAAGCCAATGCATATTTAACCAGAGAATGAACAAAAAAAAAAAAAAAAAAAAACACTTTATGGAATAGCAAACATTTAAAAAAAAATAAAGATAAATGTAGGTGTTATAGTGAAAAAAAAGCTATAATATTGCAATAATTTCCTATTTAAATATTGAGCTTGATGAATGTTTTAACTTAAATTATTTTTTGTAGTAAAATGTAGTATTAGGAAGTCTGCAAACTGTAGTTAAAAGCCTTCAGTTGATCCAAAACACTGCAGCCAGAATTCTTATGGAAATCAAAAACAGAAACCGTATTTCTCCTTTCCTAGCTTCTCTCTTCATTGGCTTCCTGTTAAATCTAGAATAGGATTTAAAATCATCCTTCTCACATTTAAAGCCCTTAATAACCAACACAATTATATATTACAGATCTGATTGCTCCTCATGTTCCTAAAAGGGCACCTTGCTCTCAATCTGGAGGTTTACTAGCTGTTCCTAGGATTTCTAAAAGTAGAATGGGAGGCAGATCTTTTAGTTATCAGGCTCCTCTCCTGCAGAATCAACTACCAGTTTTAGTCCAAGAGGCAGACACCCCGTCTAATTTTAAGGGTAGGCTTAAAACTTTCCATTTTGATGAAGGTTAGAGTGGCTCAGGTTATCCTGAGCTATCTCTATAGTAATGCTGCTTCAGGATTAGACTGCTGGAAGACACAAAGACTCATTAATCATTCTGCTCCATTCATAACTTTATGTTCTCTCTGCTTTATCTCATTGCAGCTTCATTTGGTCTGTTCCTGTTTGGCTGTGACACCATCCTGGAGAGAAATATGAGCTGGGCTGCCATTAACACCTTTGTTTATAGATTTTGGAGCTTGGCCTGTTTCTCAGTGTAGTCCTGTTTCTCTCACTGTGACTAACTGGATGTGCTCTCTTTCATCCTCTGATATGGGAGCTGGCTCGGAGCTCTTCTGCCTGGTTGCATGTTTCCTGGACGGGGTCGGCTGAGGAGCTAGTAGACAGTTGCCTTTTTTTTCTCCTAGCTTTTTATTGTCACAACTACAGAGCAACAAAAAACTCTCTGCATTTAACTCCCTCCAGCCCATTAGGTGGCAGTAAGACAATTATAGTGGGTATGACGTTGCACAGAAGAAAGACAGTTGTACTGTAGCTAACACCTACATAGATGAATGCATTATAGTGTAAGAACTTGTCTGGGCATGTTTCTCAATAAACTTCTGCAACACTGGACAAGCGGACTTTCAAGGTCATGAAAAAACTAAAACTCTGGAGTAAATCGACATGCTTGGGCTTGTTGCAAAGGATTATCGCAAAAAAATTGCAATCGCAATATTGGTTGAAAATAATCTCAATATTAATTTTGGGCAAAATCGTTCAGCTCTTTTTACTAATTTAGACCATTAAACATTCAAGATTTATAGTGTGTCTATTGAAAAGTAATAGACTGAAGTAACAACATTTATCCACAAAGGATGTGGCTGCAGCCTTTTAAAGCAAAGTCAAGTCTTGCCAAACTTTCTGGTGTGGCAATGGCCAAAGCCTTGACCCCAAAACAGGCCAGATAGCTGCCAAGGTGTGTGTTATCCTCAATGAGGATTCCAAAATTTGAGGACTATCTGTTATACTTTAAACACCGAAAAATACCAAGGTTTTATGCAAAAATATGGAAATAATAATGTAATCCCATCTGCTACTACTTGCTGCTAATGGTGAACAACCCAAAAAAATGTTTGTGTGTTTGGATGTGACTGTGGTGGGATTGGCTTGTTACACCTTGCTATGTCTTACATTAAACCACATTGCTGGAAGTATAATACAGTCCTACCTAGCAACCACAAGAGATGGGGTCATGATATGCACCTCCCTGACATGAATTATAATTTCCAAGCATGAGATACAATTCAGTACCTCATTATTTTCACTGAGTATGAGCTATGTGCTGATTCTCATGAGTGGATTTTAAAGAAAGTAGAAGAAAAATACACAAAAATAGATAAAAACTCATGAGACAGATTGGTGAAGGGAGGGTTCCCTGTCATCATGCTGACTGTCACATGGCCCTTCTCCCTCTTAGTGGCCACTACAAGCTCTGGACATTGCATGGAGAGAAATGCTCGGAGGTAGAGCGGCTGATTTGGACATGTGGAAGTTGTCATCCAGCATTGACCCCCTCTGTTTTCACATGTTTTTCTTTTTTCTGTTCTCTTATCTGCCCCCTCAGTCTATTTTTTTCCCACTCTGTCATGTTTTTTCCCTCCCCATGCATCTCCAGTCATTTTCCATGATTTAACTCATGATGCCTTCACTAACATGTTATTGTAATAAAAACCTCCTTTTTGCTGCCAGCTTTTTTATAGTGATGAATTAAATCAGGGCCATATGTTATTGCTGTTGGATTTAACAGTTCTGTGGTGTCTTATTGCTGTTTATTATCAATGCTGTATACCAAATAATAACAATAAATTCCTTCCAAATAATGTCTTTTGGGACTCGAAGCTGTGCGGTAAGCTAACTCCCCCAGCAATGGTTTGTTAATATTCAGAGAGTGTTGTTAAAATGTTAATGGGGGGATTCCAAACAGATGATTTGGGTGTATCCAGCTTTCCAGCTTGCCAACAAATCCACACTCACACATATGCCTGAATTTAGACATGGTACATTTTAAGTTTCTTCTGTTTGTCATCAACTCCACATCCTGTTTATTGTCAGTCCTCTTTAGCAAGATTTCTTTTACTAAGCTGACATGCTGTGCATGTGTAGATGGGCAAATTTGTTATTGGCTACAGTAATCTACTGTATGCACTGTATCTCATTTTGCTCATTTATTTCAGAGCCCTCTCTATCTTGGTGGAGCTATGCATTTCTCTGTGTATCTGAACGCTGTGTGAGTGTCTGTTATGTGTGTGTGCAGGATCATATCAAAGGAGGCAAACTCACTTGTTGACAGGAACCGCAATGGCCTGGAGGTAAAGCCACTGGCTGCAGTAATGCAGGTAAAGCCTCACAAACCACATCAAAGCCAGCAGCAGAATAATGAGGCCGAGCTGCAGAACGGAGTCATGCCAGCGTCTGTGCAGTTTCTGCTGTTGCCACGACAACGGCAGGCCCAACTCGGACGGTAGCATGCGAAGGGCCAGTCGGACTCGATCAGATAGTCCTGGAGAACAAGATCTTGGTACTGCTGATGATCTAATAAAAAAAGAAAAATACATATCCTTTCATGATCATTATTGTTGGTTGTTATTCTATCCATTACAATTCCGTGATCACCCCACTTTTTGCACCCAATGAAAACTTGTAAGTTTTACAGTAGGCATACAGGTATATTTATTTTCTTTTTGTGACATGGGAAAAAAACTCCAAGGTTTATTAGTGTTATTCTTAACAATATAACAATTATAGGGACCCCTGCTTTTAATATTTTTGCCGGTTTGAAAGCATTTTATCTTTTCCTTTTATATGAGGTTGCAAGGTTACAACATATGAAGTGAGAGGTTTTAACTACCTCTGTTTGTTTAAATCCTGGGATTTGTCTTATCCTCTAATCTTCAGGTAATCCCACACTTTTTCTACAAGATTTACATGTAATGCTTAGATGACCATGGCGGATCCCTTCTTTTGCTTTTGGTTTAACATGTCTTTGTTGATTTGGATATATATTTAGGTTAATTTCTCTGGTCTGATATGCAAGTGATTGATCGAGAATAACCAAATATAAGATTAAAGCTAATTTAAAGAAAGACCCACAGCATAACAGACCCTACACCAAACTTAACAATGGGTTGAAGGAATCTTTCGAAAACTTCTTCCCTTGTTTTTATTGCAAACAACTGCAGAAAAGTTAAATTAATGTATTTTTATTCCACTTATATATCATTAGCATACGCAACATATTCTTTAACATCTAAGGCCTTACTTAAAAAGAAGGAACATATAATTATTCCTTTCAAAGTGCCTTTGTTGCGAAGAGATGATCATTAAGACTTCACTGCTCTCTTCCTGATATCTTTTTTTAAAGTTAATGGTAACCTGGAATAAGCCAGATTGATATTGTATAGAATTCAAATTAAACTACACATATTGATCTGTAAAGCCTTATGCTAAATTGTTGCACAAGGGAGGGACATTCAGTACAATTCTTCTTGCTGATTGGGTACCTACTTCCCATATCAAGTTAGCAACTCTTACCAAATCTGGACGAGAGGAATGCTGTGACACCTCCCACCTCTAGTTGATGAGATGATGTCATAGGCCTCCCTGCGTTTCATTGGTCCAAAAAATTTTTTTTTTTTGAGGCAAACTTTATCTGCTTGCTCCACGTACGATGTATTTTTGGGAGTTTGTGAGTTCACAAATCACGCAACAATTCATCTTTTATCTCACAAAAAACAACCCACACAAACTGGAATCCTAACACTTGCTTGCAAGGTAAGCACCAAGGATAATCGAGCTGTTCTATCTGTTACACTAGATGTGGATCAAATGACAATTATGAATAACAAACCATACTTTTTTCATTCATTAGATTCAAATGTGTTACCGTATGTTTGTTTGATTTCTTAGTTTTTAATGAAGGTAGTGTAGTCTAATATTCACATTGACACACGTTCAGACATGTACACAGCATTTCAGTATTTCTCTCTCATGCACACATACATACATACAACACACATTCACAAACAGATAGGAATCCCTCCCAGCTATGTTCAGCTTCCCTCAGCACCTCTGTGCCGCCCTTTGTCAGGCCTGCTCAACTATTCCCTTTCATACACAGGGCACAGATGGAACACTGTGAAGCAAGAGGAGGAGGGCATCCATGATGAGAGATAGAAAAGGACAGACAAGACAAGGAAAGGAAAACCTAATACAACAATTAATCAAAAAGGTATAAAAAAAAGATGAAAAACGGGAATTAATTCAGCTCTCTGATCCATAATAGAATGAGTATGTAATAATAATTAAAATGTGAAGTCAGATAATTGTCATTGTTTTGATTAATGTCCAATAAAAGAGGATTTTTTGTGACTTCTACAATCCGACTAACAATAGAGCACCCTCATATTGTTTACAGTGCAGCAATGGTTAGCACTGCTGAATGTGTCTTCAGGCCTGTGCCTGTGGACATCCCTGTGTCTCGCTACAGTCCCAGAGCATAGTTGGAATTCACTTTGTAGTGTTCGTCTTGGGAAAATCACACACCGCCTAAAGACGAAAAACAGAATCAATTGTGTTGCTCCCACACCCCCTTTACCAAATAATTAGGCTAGACTTACATCAAAATGAGGCACTAGATTTTATTTCCTGCTTGCATCGCTGCAAGAAATGCCAACTGCAATAAATGCCCACTCTTATGCAGTTATTTATATAAATTTTTTGTTTCTAAAGAGATGCTCTTCTGCTTGATGTGTGCACTTTCTGAAGTGTAAAAATTACTTGAAGTTTCTTCAAGCATACTTACAATAGCAGCAGCATAACGTACAGCCCATGTGGGAGATGAAGAGGTTTGTTCACAAAATGCTTAGTCAACAGTTTGGGCTAATAAATATTCACAAGTTGGGCGAAACAAACTCGCACAGAGATAATGCACATCTCTCAGAACAGTCATAGATCATAGCAAGGATCTTCACATTTCATTTAACAGGATTTCCGGTTTATACTATAAATTTGATAATTCTTTATAGGGCCAAATGTTACAAAAAAAAAAGTTTTATGAAAAATAAATTTTTTGCATTCTGTTAATAAGTATAAATGCACCAATCAAATGGGAGGGGGTTGGAAAATGCCAGTTTCCTCTTGGTTGGCTGTCATTCAAAATGTATATTTAAGAAAAAGACAATTGTCTGTATATATATATAAAAAAAGAAAACTACAATCATTTATTGTCTTCAATGCCTTATCGTGCCAAGGGACCAAGGGGCATTGCCCAAGAAAAGGCAAATTTATTTGCATCTTTTTCTTTCAGTTTTCAAACATCGGATACAACTTGAAGTTTTTCTTTATTAATACAACGTTTACAATTCTGCTGACCAAATGCTTTGCATCTTTTTTCTTAGGTTGTGATACATATTCTTACCAAGACAAGGTTGGAGAACAGATAAAGGTGTGGAGCAGTTCTGCCCGGTATGGATTTCCACAGTAGGATTTCCATTTAGAGCATTTTCACGGCTTGTTTCACCACAAGCATGATGTGCAACTGCTTTCAGAATGATAGAAAAAGCAGAATTACGATGTAGACAGAAAAAAAAAAAAAGCTGGGTGCCTCAGACACAGGCAAGATGCTATCCTGTCAACTGTCATTAAACAAATCCACCAAATGCAACCTGACGTCCATCTCTCACATAATAAGACATTGATGGTGCGTGAAAGAGTCGTATTTTTAGACATTTTTGTGTGGTAGTCTCCTCTCAAGGACACTGGTGGCATGGTGGGAATCAGTTATGTCCTCTAAATGTTGTTTATTATAGTGGCATCAGTAACTGAAATATACAGAAACATAGAAATGAACGCTGAGGGTGGAGGAATTTTATGTTGTTTGAAAAAAATGGATTTGTCACTCTAGCCTAATATCTTGTGCTCTGCACTACATATTGCCCAACTCATGAAACAAAAGATCTAAACTTGCATGGACTGGCATATATTGCAGTATTTTACTCTTGGTACTCCTGTGAAATTGAGTCTAAAAGCTTTTCCATCATATTTCTTATGCATGTTGTTACTTCCCATCTCATCAAAGCACATTGCAGAGGGAGTTATCATTTCTTAAATTTGTCAAGGCATGTCAGTCAGTTTTTGTCAACTTCTGGACTAGGATAATGCTCCAAAACTGGTTCTCGAAGTTTCTATCCTAAATGTTCGATGGCATGAGAACAAACCAGAGCGGTGCTTTTAAAAATAGCAAAAAGAGAATGGCAAGCACGGACAGGTATTAAATCTTTCCATGACATTGGATACTGGATAAGAACTTTAAAATACAGTAGAGTAACATTTTAATTGTACTCTTAAGCCTGAGGATACATGAATGTACCTTGCAGATCTCATCAGAACTAAACCTTTTAGTGTAGGACCACTTAACGTATTAAACTCATTCCTTTATTTTGAGGACTAGGATTGCTCTGTCATTTTCCTGTTTCAGCCAGTGACGGTAATAAATTTATCAAGACTGAGCCGACCTTTTGCACACAGCTGAATAATGGCTTGCTGTTGGGGAAACTGAGAAATCCCAAAAAATTTAAGTGATTAAAGAGTTAAAAGATTCATAGATAATGAAATTGCTTTCAAAGTAGTCCAGATGCGTAAGTGTTGTGATGATTAAGAGAAGTGTGACTATCTTAGTCCTCAATGGATAGGACTAAAGATACAATCTTATTTTTTTTATTCTATTTAACAAAAATGCTGATATGTGTTTGTTTGAAAACTGGGGAGCCTATCTGTCATCTGTCCTCTGGTGGTTACAGTCAGTTCCTTTCAGAATAATGTGTGAACACTCACAGTGTTGATGCTTTCAATGAGCCTCAATCTAGGGGTTTTCTCTTTTTGGTTTGCAGTAGAGACAGATGTTATTGTTATCTGTTTTGGTATGAAATCTTAATTATTTGACTTACATGGTACATCTGACTGGAAACGATATTATGGAACGGTCTAAATGAAGTCTGGGCTTGAGCAAAAGACTAGTGAGGGTTAGGAGGCTTTCAAACATTAGAATTTAGAATTAGAATATTATCACCATAAGTAAAAAGAATGAAAATACCAGTTTTTATAATTTCAAAAGAATTTTTGAATTCTTTATTTCTCTAAGTTATCTTTGCATCTCCAACCTCTGCAGGTAATAAGAGACACGCCTGTAACTAGTGTCCTAAAGAGCACATCAGTCATTTTAATCTTGCATTCAAATCGTTTTTTGTGTGCAGAACATCTTGTCTACACCTTCCTATTGACCTAATTACTAACAAGGCTTTTAGAGACATGTTTCCACATTAATTTCTACAACTCTGGCATCAGATAAGGTTCGTAAGGAGAAGCAAAGCCACAAGTTCAGCCATCTCTTTTTTTCCCTTTTTTTTCATTCATGTGATATATCTTTATATAAAATCGTCTTTGTGATGATTAAATGTTAAAAGCTGTGACTTTTCCGTAATAAACTCCCACCAAAACATGTTTTTGGACTCCTCAGACACCTTGGAAGCGTTTAG